AAAGTCCTCGAGGAAACCCAAAAAGTCCTGAAGGAACTCGAAAATTCCTCAAGAAACTCCAAAAATCCTCAAGGAACCTTAACATTTCTCAAGGAAACCCAAAAAGTCCTCAAGGAACCCTAAAATTTCTCGAGGAAACCCCAAAAAGTCCTCAAGGAAACCCAAAAATTCCTGAAGGAAACAACAAAAATCCTCAAGGAACACCAAAAAGTCCTCAAGGAAACCCCAAAAACACCTGAAGGAAACCCCCAAAACTCCTCAAGGACCCCCAAAACTCCTCAGGGAACCCCAAAAACTCCTCAAACAACCCCAAAAACTCCTCAGGGAACCCCAAAAACACCTGAAGGACCCCCAAAACTCCTCAAAGAACCCCAAAACTCCTTCAAGATCTCCGAAGTTTATGATGGAACCCCCAAAACTCCTCCAAGATCTCTGAAATTCCTCATCAAACCCCCAAAACTCCTTCAAGGAACCCCAAAAACTCCTCAGGGAACCCCCAAACTCCTCAAAGAACCCCAAACTCCTCAAGGAAACCCCAAAAAATCCTCAAGGAAACACCAAAAAGTCCTCGAGGAAACCCAAAATGTCCTCAAGGAACCCCAAAAAGTCCTGAAGGAACCCTAAACAATCCTCAAGGAAACACCAAAAATTTCTCAAGGAACCCTAAACAATCCTCAAGGAAACACCAAAAATTTCTCAAGGAACCCTAAACAATCCTCAAGGAACCCCAAAAATTCCTCAAGGAACCCCAAAAAGTCCGCAAGGAACCCCTGAAAGTCCTCGAGGAAACCCAAAAAGTCCTGAAGGAACTCGAAAATTCCTCAAGAAACTCCAAAAATCCTCAAGGAACCTTAACATTTCTCAAGGAAACCCAAAAAGTCCTCAAGGAACCCTAAAATTTCTCGAGGAAACCCCAAAAAGTCCTCAAGGAAACCCAAGAATCCTCAAAGAACACCAAAAAGTCCTCAAGGAAACCCCAAAAAGTCCTCAAGGAAACACCAAAAATTCCTCAAGGAACCCTAAAATTTCTCGAGGAAACCCCAAAAAGTCCTCAAGGAAACCCAAGAATCCTCAAAGAACACCAAAAAGTCCTCAAGGAAACCCCAAAAAGTCCTCAAGGAAACACCAAAAATTCCTCAAGGAATCCCAAAAACTCCTCAAGGAACCCTAAAATTGTCAAGGAACCCTAAAATTTCTCAAGGAAGCCCAAAAATTCCTCAAGGAACCCCAAAAAGTCCTCAAGGAACCCCAAAAAGTCCTCAAGGAAACCCAAAATTCCTCAAGGAAAGCTAAAATTTCTCAAGGAAACCCCAAAAAGTCCTCAAGGAAACCCAAAAATTCCTGAAGGAAACAACAAAAATCCTCAAGGAACACCAAAAAGTCCTCAAGGAAACCCCAAAAACACCTGAAGGAAACCCCCAAAACTCCTCAAGGACCCCCAAAACTCCTCAGGGAACCCCAAAAACTCCTCAAACAACCCCAAAAACTCCTCAGGGAACCCCAAAAACACCTGAAGGACCCCCAAAACTCCTCAAAGAACCCCAAAACTCCTTCAAGATCTCCGAAGTTTATGATGGAACCCCCAAAACTCCTCCAAGATCTCTGAAATTCCTCATCAAACCCCCAAAACTCCTTCAAGGAACCCCAAAAACTCCTCAGGGAACCCCCAAACTCCTCAAAGAACCCCAAACTCCTCAAGGAAACCCCAAAAAATCCTCAAGGAAACACCAAAAAGTCCTCGAGGAAACCCAAAATGTCCTCAAGGAACCCCAAAAAGTCCTGAAGGAACCCTAAACAATCCTCAAGGAAACACCAAAAATTTCTCAAGGAACCCTAAACAATCCTCAAGGAACCCCAAAAATTCCTCAAGGAACCCCAAAAAGTCCGCAAGGAACCCCTGAAAGTCCTCGAGGAAACCCAAAAATTCCTCAAGGAACCCCAAAAAGTCCGCAAGGAACCCCTGAAAGTCCTCGAGGAAACCCAAAAATTCCTCAAGGAACCCCAAAAAGTCCGCAAGGAACCCCTGAAAGTCCTCGAGGAAACCCAAAAATTCCTCAAGGAACCCCAAAAAGTCCGCAAGGAACCCCTGAAAGTCCTCGAGGAAACCCAAAAAGTCCTGAAGGAACTCGAAAATTCCTCAAGAAACTCCAAAAATCCTCAAGGAACCTTAACATTTCTCAAGGAAACCCAAAAAGTCCTCAAGGAACCCTAAAATTTCTCGAGGAAACCCCAAAAAGTCCTCAAGGAAACCCAAGAATCCTCAAAGAACACCAAAAAGTCCTCAAGGAAACCCCAAAAAGTCCTCAAGGAAACACCAAAAAGTCCTCGAGGAACCCTAAAATTGTCAAGGAACCCTAAAATTCCTCAAGGAACCCTAAACATTCCTCAAGGAAACCCAAAATTCCTCAAGGAAACAATAAAAAGTCCTTGAGGAAACCCAAAAAGTCCTCAAAGAAGCCCAGAAAGTCCTCAAGGAACCCCAAAACTCCTCAAGGAGCCCCAAAATTCCTTCAATATCGCCAAAGTTTATCATAGGAACCCCAAAACTCCTGAAAGTACCCGCAAAATTCCTCAAGGAAATCCTTAAACTCCTCAAAGAACCCCAAAACTCCTCCAAGATCTCTGAAATTCCTCATCGAACCCCCAAAATTCCTCAGGGAACCCCCAAACTCCTAAAGAAAACCCCAAAACTCCTCAAGGAAACCCCAAAAAGTCCTCATGGAACCCCCAAAACTCCTCAGGGAACCCCAAAACTCCTCAAAGAACCCCAAAACTCCTCAGGGAACCCCCAAACTCCTCAAAGTACCCCAAAACTCCTCAAGGAAACCCCAAAAAGTCCTCATGGAACCCCCAAAACTCCTCAGGGAACCCCAAAACTCCTCAAAGAACCCCAAAACTCCTCAGGGAACCCCCAAACTCCTCAAAGTACCCCAAAACTCCTCAAGGAAACCCCAAAAACTCCTCAGGGAACTCCAAAACTCCTCAAAGAACCCCCAAAACTCCTCAAGGAACCCCCAAAACTCCTCAAAGAATCCCAAAACTCCTCAAAGAACCCGCAAAACCCCTCAGGGAACCCCAAAACTCCTCAAAGAACCCCAAAACTCCTCCAAGATCTCCAAAATTCCTCATCGAACCCCCAAAACTCCTCAACCCCCAAAACTCCTTCAAGGAACCCCCAAAACTCCTCAAAGAACCCCAAAAACTCCTCCAAGATCTCCGAAATTCCTCATCAAACCCCCAAAACTCCTTCAAGGAACCCCCAAAACTCCTCAAAGAACCCCAAAAACTCCTCCAAGATCTCCGAAATTCCTCATCAAACCCCCAAAACTCCTTCAAGGAACCCCCAAAACTCCTCAAAGAACCCCAAAAACTCCTCCAAGATCTCCGAAATTCCTCATCAAACCCCCAAAACTCCTTCAAGGAACCCCCAAAACTCCTCAAAGAACCCCAAAAACTCCTCCAAGATCTCCGAAATTCCTCATCAAACCCCCAAAACTCCTTCAAGGAACCCCCAAAACTCCTCAAAGAACCCCAAAAACTCCTCCAAGATCTCCGAAATTCCTCATCAAACCCCCAAAACTCCTTCAAGGAACCCCCAAAACTCCTCAAAGAACCCCAAAAACTCCTCCAAGATCTCCGAAATTCCTCATCAAACCCCCAAAACTCCTTCAAGGAACCCCCAAAACTCCTCAAAGAACCCCAAAAACTCCTCCAAGATCTCCGAAATTCCTCATCAAACCCCCAAAACTCCTTCAAGGAACCCCCAAAACTCCTCAAAGAACCCCAAAAACTCCTCCAAGATCTCCGAAATTCCTCATCAAACCCCCAAAACTCCTCAAGGAACCCCCAAACTCCTCAAGGAACCCCCAAAACTCCTCAAGAAACACCCCAACTCCTAAAGGAAACCCCAAAACTCCTCAAGGAAACCCCAAAAACTCCTCAGGGAACCCCAAAATTCGTCAGGGAACCCCAAAAACTCCTCAGGGAACCCCAAAATTCGTCAGGGAACCCCAAAAACTCCTCAGGGAACCCCAAAACTCCTGAAAGAACCCCAAAAACTCCTCCAAGATCTCTGAAATTCCTCATCAAACCCCCAAAACTCCTCAAGGAAACCCCCAAAACTCCTCAAGGAACCCCAAAACTGCTCCAAGATCTCCGAAATTCCTCATGGAATGTCCAAAATTCCTCAGGGAACCCCAAAACTCCTCAAAGAACCCCAAAACTCCTCAGGGAACTCCAAAACTCCTCAGGGAACCCCAAAACTCCTCAAGGAACTCCCAAAACTCCTCCAAGATCTCTGAAATTCCTCATCAAACCCCCAAAACTCCTCAAGGAACCCCAAAACTCCTCAGGGAACCCCAAAACTGCTCCAAGATCTCCGAAATTCCTCATGGAATGTCCAAAATTCCTCAGGGAACCCCAAAACTCCTCAAAGAACCCCAAAATTCCTTCAATATCTCCAAAGTTTATCATGGAACCCCCAAAACTCCTCAGGGAACCCCAAAAACACATCAAACCCCCAAACTCCTCAGGGAACCCCCAAAACTCCTCAGGGAACCCCCAAACTCCCCACCAGCATCAAGGTCTCCAGCAGCATCTTGCGGATCTCGGGCTCCTCTTCCCTGCGGTGCTCCGGCGGGAGGTACTGCAGATCCACGGGAAGCTCTGGAACAGGGGTTGGGATAAAACCCCCTCAGGAACCCCGGGAATATTCGGGACACCCCAAAAAAAACCACCCCAAAAAACGCCGCTCACGCTCCATCTCGTCCTCGGGGAGCTCCTCGGGGCCGGCCAGCGGCAGCAGCAGCGGCGGCAGCGCGTCCACCTCGGGGCCCAGCAGCCACTCGTGCTTCTCTGGGAATTCCAGAGGGGTTGGGAATCTCGTCCCGGGGAAAATTCCCGATTTTTCCACCGAAATTTCGGGGTTTTTTCCCTCAATTTTCCTCGATTTTTGGGGGTTTTCCCTCAATTTTCCCCGATTTTTGGGGGTTTTTTTCTCTCGTTTTGCGCCGGCCGCGCGTTGCCGGAGTTTTGGGAATGTTTGGGGTTTCTCCATCCTGCGCACGCAGGGATGGGAATTCCAGGAATTTCAGGGGAATATTCCCAAAAATCCCAACCCCAGGTCGTTCCCTCTTCTGCCAGGATTCCAGGGAATTCCGTTGTTTTCGTTGGGATTCCGGGGAATTCCAGGGTTTTTTGGTGGCATT